CAAAAGTCCATATTTACAACACTATGAACACACATACCCTCATTAATAGTCATTCTTTACGAAACACTTGCTATGTGCCAGGTACCAGGTGAAGCATTTTATAAATAATATCTTATGGTAATCCACAGATGTAGCTATTTTTAATCGCCATTCTACAGATAAGGAAACTAAGATTCAGAGAAGGCGGGCTCTCATTCCTCTGTCGGACCCCAGAGGCAGTGTTCTAGACCACTTGCTTCCCAGGACATAGCATGTGTGAGGGGGAGGTGGGGAGAAGATGCCATGGAGATCTTTAGTCTCCTGACACCACACCATCCCACCCTTGCTATCCCCTCTTCCAGGTGTCTTTTCACTCCTCTATACTGCTTGTAGGGGCAGGAGAAAGGTGACGCTCAGAACAAGAAGACAAAGTGTTCTGAGGGTCAAACTGACAGGCCAAGAGAAGACAAATCACAGAAGTACAGGCTGCTGGTGAGTAATGGAATAAGACAGGATGTGACCATTAAGCTTTCTCTGTGTTTCATGCTGTATTTTCCTTGGTGACTCAGGCTTTTAACACTATCAACAGACACAATCTGTGCTCATCCTACCTCCCAACCCTTCTCCCCCTACTTACTAGGCAGACATGGAGTTACATCCTGTGTATTCTGTGGTGAAAAAGGCACACCTGGTCTGTTCTCTTGGAGTGCTCACACTCTGATGGGAAAGGCAGACCCCAAGTCCATACACAGGTAAACCGAAGAGCACGTGGAGTTCTCTGAAGAAAACAAACAGGAAACTGGAGGGGTGATGGTTCCATTTACTGAGAGAATGAAGACTTAGGGGAGCCAGGGAAGGAAGTCAAGAGTCCCAGTCCCCATGTATCATTCAGAGATGTCGGGTACATAGTCAGATATGGGAGTCTAATGCTCAGAGGAGAGGTCTGGCTTAGAGGTTGAAAAAGCATCCGGTTAGCCTTCCAGCCTCTTGGGTTCTTTCTTTCTTTCTTTCTTTTTTTTTTTTTTTTAAGATTTATTTATTTATTTGAGAGAGAGAGCACATGGGGTGGGGGGAGGGGGAAGGAGAGTGGAAAAGGAAGAGAGAGACTTTCAAGCAGACTCCCTGCTGAGCACAGAGGACAGAGCTCATGAAGGGCTTGATCTCACCACCCTGAGATCACACCTAAGCTGAACCCAAGACTCAGATGTTTTCATCCACTGTGCCACCCAGGCAGCCCCCAGGCTCTCCCAGGTTTCATCTCTTCTTGAAAGTTTTCCCTCATAACATAATTCCTAGGGAATTTCACGACATCCATTCATCCATCCATTAAATCATTCAACACATTCTCAGTAAGGTCTACTGTGGGCAGACATTGTATTGCCCTAGCATCCTCTAGGAGCCAATCTTCTAGGTGTGGAGTCAACAAATAAAGTAGACAATTAAATAACAAACAAACAAATAAAGTAGACAATTACAACACAGACTGGTAAGTGCTGTGTTCAGGGGAAGAGCAATGGGCCTAGGCAGATGGGTCAGCCTGGGGCCTACAGGAAGCAGATGGCCATCTCAGGCCAGTAATTTGAGGAGGCTCTATTCACAGAGGTGGGCAGGGAGTAGGGAAACCACAAGGGATAGATCACAACGTACCCTGGAGCTGGAAACATTTCAACATCATTACCTCCCCAGGCCTGGAGAGGAGAGGGAAGGGGTGGTCCCAGGAACATGGAAACAGGGAGCACTCTGACATGGGGCTGATAGACAGAAGCTGGGAGCCTCAGTTGAGGCAGGTAGCAAGAGAAACAATAGCAAAAGGTTTTTGTTTTTGTTTTTTAAGTTAACTATATCAGATGATGTTAGGTGTTACTGAAAAACAAGGCAGAAAAGGGAGTTAGGGAGGGCAGTGGAAGGAGGGCAGCGGAAGGGAGGGATTACAATTTGTAAATTGAATGGTCAGAGAAGACCTCAGCAAGAAGAGGCACTTAAGACTTGAAGGAGCTGTATCTCCAGGTGAGTCTTCCCCTGACCCCTTCAGTCATCCCACCCCACGCCCCTGCCCATCCTGTCCTAAGGTCAGGGCCTTGTCTCCAATGTTTTTGTATTAGAGGTCCCTGAAGATCTGTCTCAAACTTCGGTGTCCTTGGGACAGGAATCCTGTTCCACCCTTTCTTTTCTCACCTAATAACAACAGGAGCTGTCATTTATGAAGCACATATGTCATGCTGGGCTCAGCTCTGGGCCCGTTACACACACTGGGTCATCTAAGCCTTGTAGCAAATCTGCAAGGCACAGATAAAGAAAATGAGGCACCTCAGTCCACTTTCCAAGAACCCCTTAGCCAGCTGGCTTCTCTAACAGGGTTTCTGCTCCATCCTCACTCCAGAGAAAGGGAAGTGGAGAACAGGCCTTAAGTTTCTTTCTTTCCTTTTTTTTTAGATTGTATTTATTTATTTGACAGAGAGAGAGAGATCACAAGTAGGCAGAGAGGCAGGCAGAGAGAGGGGGAGGGGGGGAAGCAGGCTCCCCACTGAGCAGAGAGCATGATGCAGGGCTCGATCCCAGGACCCTGAGATCATGACCTGAGCCGAACAAAGGCAGAGGCTTAACCCACTGAGCCACCCAGGCGCCCCAGGCCTTAAGTTTCTGAAGGGGAATAGAAATTAGGCACATACTTTGTGTCTCCAGTGAACACAAGGACCAAATGTTAGAAGTAACTAGGAGGCAGTTTTTGTTAAAACACGAAAACGTCCTAACAATCAGTGCCTTGGCTGCCTTGGAAGCAATGAGCTCCTTGTCACTAAGGGTGTACAAGAGAAACTGGACAATATCATGTCAAAATGGAATATAGGGGATGTTTAGGTAAGGGATTTGACCAGATAACTCTGAGTCCTTCCAACTTAGGTTCCATCACTAAATGACTCTAGAATTCTAAGACAGTGTGATTCAAAGACTAGGATTCTAAATCCCTATCTTCAAAGAACTCACAATCTAATAAATGAGGTGGGCAAATAGTTACTTTTGATAACTGTAGTAAATAATCCTATAGAGGAAATGCAGGGCCCTGGGCAGCAGCCCTACTTGAGCTGGGGCTGGTTCCTCAAGGCTGATCTTAAGAAGCACTGGCATCAGAATCATTTGGGAATCTTGCTTGCTTGCTTGCTTTCCTTCTTCCCTCCCTCCCTCCCTTCCTCTATTCCTCCCTCTTTTTCTCTTTCTTTCTTTCTTTCTTTCCTTCCTTTCTTTTCTTTCCTTCCTCCCTCCCTACCTTCCTCTTTCTCCCTCCCTCCTTCTCTTTCTTTCTTTCTCCTCCTCTCTTCCTTCCTTTCTTTGTTCTAATGTTTACACTCCATTCCAGATCTCCTGCATCAGAACCTCTGGAGCCGGACCCAAAAGTCTACTTTACCAGAATGAGCTCTGAGGTGATTTCTAGGCAGACTGAAATTTGATTCTTCATGCCCAGAGTCAGGATGACTTCCTTGAGAGGTGATTAATCAGACTGAGAAAAAGGAGTAGGTGGGTCAAAATATGCAACCACAGAAAAACAGGGAAGTAATGTGTTTTGATAAAGAATAGCAATCTTGTATAGTGTTCTCTCCATGTAGTGGGTCTTTTTAAAATGATAGCACCTCTTAAATATAATCTGAGATTCTGTGATAAGGGTATGTGCCTCAGATCTCCTGGAACAGATCTTTGTTTGCAAGGGAGCAAGAGCTGGCCTCAGTTTATTATTAGTTATGCCAAGGTGGGAGGCTGTTGAAAAGGATTCTGATAAGCACGCCCACAGAGTCCTAGAGAGGCTGCTCCTGGCCACTGTCCACTCCTCTGCCTACAGGCCCCAGCCCTCATTCCCCAACTGCCCCTGGCTACTTCTCTTTTCTGGAGCCTGCAGTGTCACCAGCAAGAAAGCAATAGTGTGGGGAGGGCCTGGTGGCCAAAAAGTGCAGGGTGTTCTGGGGCAGGGACCAGTGGAGGTATGGCTGGACAACAGTCGTCCTGGCATATGAGAGCTGTTGAGACTTGGAAGGAGGGGACACTGCTGGGGTGAAAGACAGAAAGTGGCACAGTGAATTCTGAGTTGGAGCTCTGCCACTGACTTTTGTGGGGAGCCTGGGCAAGTCCCTTCCCCAGACAGGGCCTCTGCATTCCTGTCTGGAAGAGTCGGTTTGTGTTAGAAGCAGATGACTTCTCCAGTGACCATTGGCTTTAATATTTTGGATTCTACAATCTCACCCGACCCAACCCATTACCGTACAAAGCATACAGGCAGGACCTTGACCCATTTTACAGCGAGGAAGCTGCGGCCCAGGGAGGAGCAGTGATTTGCCCAACACCACACAGCCACTTAGGAGCAAAGCCAGATTCCACCGGCACCCAACGCTCAGCCTGGCGTTTGGGAGATCAGTCTCATGCTGGGCAAGCTGAAGCAAAGTGAGAGGCACTCGGTCTCCGGTCCAGGAAGCAGGCGCTGCAGGGGACGGAAGGGTCGGAGCCCACGCCGCGTGAGGCCAAGTAACTGGGCGGAGGCGCCCGAAGCCAGCCTGGGGAGAAGTGGGTGTGCTGGGGGCCGGGCGCGGTCGGGGGAGGAGGCGCCCTGGGTAAGGTTAAAGGGAGCGGAGCGCGGGTCGGGGCGCAGAGCCGAGGGGACTCGGGCTGTGTGCGGACAGGTGGACGGAACGCGGAGGGCAGCTGTGCGGGGGAACCGAGGAGCACAGGGTGCGGGGTCCTACCGAGAGACGGGCGCCCCTCGGAGTCTTGCCGAGAGGCAGGTAAGGCGCACTCGCAGGGTCGGGAAGGCTGGGCTGCAGCCGGAGATAGAAGTCAGAGGTCTTCCCGCCTCCCTTGGGGAACACCGACGGGAGGTGGGGGGCGGCTCCCATACGGAGCTGGACCTCCCCAGAACCGAGCTGCAGGAATCCCGGGGCCCCACTTAGGAGTACCAGGAGCCCAGCTGAAGACCCTGGGGGCTTGCACCAGCACCCGCGGGCCCTGGGACCGCGGCTGGAAAGCTCTTTCCACGTCCACAGATACGCATGCGAACACCGGAGGGGCCGCAGCGAATGCACACGCAGAAACGGCCCCCGGGGACCCCACGCGGTCTTCTTGTTTGGCCAGAGCTGCTTGCTCCGTGGAGCCGACGTGCCCTTTCGCTACTGCATCGTGCCCCGAGCCTCAAGACCCCTAAAGACACCCTCTGTTGCTAATAACAGAGGTCTAGGTTGGGAGTCAGGAGAGTGGGTTCTAGTTTATAGGTTGTGTAAACCTGTGCAGGTCCCCTACCGGCTGTATGCCTTGAACTTTCTTTTCCTGGGTCACCACTTGTAAAATGGGCTTCTTGGTCCTGTTGCCTGCACACTTCGTGGGACATGAGGGGAAAGGGGTCTGGACCTGGGATGCTCTTATCTAGAAAGTAGATGAGTTCAGACAGGCCCTTGTAGGAGGGCCCATAAAGAGCATCTCCTCCTATTCCTCCTCCCCACTCTTCACCAATTTGCATGTGGGGTGGCTGAGGCCCAGGGGGAAGATAGCTTGCCCAGGGACACACCAGGAACCTGAGAGAAGCAGAAGGAACCCAAGTCTCCTTACTTCTAGTGCACGGCTCTCTCCACTTCACCTATAAAGGTGCATTATAAATGTGTAAGTTCCTCATTATCTCCTAGCATCCATCCACTTTGCTGGTTCCAAATGGAAGAGATCTCTGCTTGAGACATAGAAATGGCTTTCAGATTTTCTCGACTCCTTAAGATGATAACCAGCAACCTTCTTCATCCCTCACTCACTCCACACATCTCAAAACACATTTCTCTCCATAAACTGAATGGGTGGGTGCTCCAGATACCTACCAAGAGAGAGGTAAGACAAAACCCCCAACTTACTGATGGGGAACATGAGGTCCAGAGTGGAGAAGTGACTTAACCAAGGTATATGGCTAGACATGGCCTAATAGGAGCATGTCTCTTGATTCCAGTTCTGGTGTGTTTTCCATCAGCCACAGGACTACTGAATGGTACTGCTAAATAGAAGGGGACTATAGAGCTGATCAGAGTATGAGAAACAAGGAAGGCTTTAAAAAAAAAAATTTAAGATTTATTTATTTATTTTAGAGAGAGAGAAAACATGAGCAGGAGGGGCAGAGGGAGAGGGAGAAAGAATCTCAAGCAGACTCTGTGCTGTGTGCGGAGCCTGAGGGGGGGCTCATTTCATGACCCTGAGGTTAGGACCTGAGCTGAAACTAAGAGTCAGATGCTTAACCTACTGCACCACCCAGGCACCCCAGGGAAGGCTCTTGAAAGAGGAAAGTATGTCTGAGAATCAAGAAGAGTCATAAGAACCTGCTGACTTCTCCCAAGAAAAGAAAGCCAAAGGGAGGAGGGAGGGGCAACATAGGGATGGTTGTTCTGGGTAATCTGGAGGTGGGGTTGGGAAATAGAAAAGGAAATCAGATTGCCCAATAATTCTCCCTTATGCTTCTATAATACTTGGCAATTTCTTAAAACACCTTTTTGTCTGTCCCCGTCCCCACGTAAGGTAAACAGGGCAGGGATCATTATCCCCATCTCATATATGAGTTACAGAGGAAGTAAATGCAGTGCTGAAGGTCACATAGCCAAGCATACAGCCAAGATTGGAACCATCAAAGGCACACATGAAAGGCAAGATCACAGGCTGGGTGATTGGGAATTGGACTGTGTGTGTGCTATGGGTGGGTGTGTGAGGCCACACCCTGGGTAGGTACACAGGGAAGAGGGTGGCAAAACCACTGCTAGTGTTTTGGGGCCAAGAATGCTTGCCCTTTGGATTCAATGGGGTTCAGGTCCAGGGAACATCTGGGTTTCCAAAGAAGGCTTAGAATTCCTCCTCCTCTGAGTCACTTCTCCACCTAACCAAGATGGCTTCTTTTCTTTGAGTCTCCCCTTTCCCAAACCAAATGGTATCTGTTTCTGCTCTTGAAGTTGCTTTTTAAGTACTTACTATAAACCATTTTCATGAATGTGTATGTGTGTGCTGGATGGGGGATGGTCTAATAAGAAGAGGCACTGATTCATATGTTCTTGAGTGCCTACTATGTGCTCAGGACCAGGGAATAAAGAAATGTATGAGGTACAGGTCCTTGCCCTCACACCTCACAGAACATAGTTTAACCTACATATTTGTAGTTATCAATACCCACATACACACACACACACACTTTCAGTACAGCCCAGTGTTCAAATAGGGTTTTATGCAAAGTACTTTAGGAATAGACAAGAGGGAGAGACTAACTGGTTAGGGAGTGGGGAGGGAAGGGGGGTGTCTCAGGAGAGGGTCTACAGAGGTGACATTGGAGCTATGTCTTGAAGGATAAATAGGTGTTCACGGGAAGATAAAAAGAGGAAGGGGACTCCTCTGCCTAAGAAAACAGCATAAACAAAGGCAAGAAGTGTGCAAGTGCAAGGAATGTTTGGAGAATGGCCTCTAGTTCAGTATCATGTGGCACAGGGTACTGGGGAGAGCTGTGGTGAGATGGGGCTAGAGGTAGGGTCACACCCAAAGAAGCTTAAATGACAATTTGAGGAGGCTAGATTGTCCTACAGGCAACAGGGAACTAAAAGTAGAAAGGTCTGTGGATGGGATACCTGTTTGTGGTCCTGGCTCTACCCCTGGACTGAGGCCTTGCACAGGTGATTTCCTCAAGGTGGGGGTGCTCTACTTTGCTCTGGTTGAATGCGGTTTGTACCAACAACATGATTATTAAGATCCCTTCCAGTCAAATTTTACTCCTGTGTCTCCTTCCAACTCTGTGTTAAGGTCCATTCCTTTAATTCCTCTCTCACTCCACCGCTCCCCAGTCAATGGTAGTGATAAGTCCACCTGAGGGACCAATGGCAAAATTGTGTGGTCCCAGGGGTTGTCTTTGGATCCCCCCCTATCTTCTTTGTGTGAACTCCCCCCTTGCCTCTCTTTACTACATTCCCAGGCACTTAAAACATTCATTCTGAGAGAGTAGCTGAAACAGAGCAGTGTGGAACCAAAAGAACCAATGGTGGAGTTTCTCTTTTCCCCAGAGAAACCTGAAGGAAAACCTAAGATGCCCAGTTCATCCTTCAAATCACAGCTTTACACCTCCACCCCAACTTGGATACCTGTGAGTTCAAGTCAAGAACACCTGGCTGGCTCAGCTGATAAAGCATTCGACTCTTGACCTCAGGGTGATGAGTTCAAGCCCCACATTGGGCATAGAGCCTACTTAAAAAAAAAAGAAAAGAACATTCAGGAGGAACCTGTTAACGTGCAGGAAATAGCAACAGAGTATAGAGGAAGAGAGTGCTCCTGGCTTGTTTGGGGGAACAGGAGTGTGTCTGGAGCAGAAAGGACCACAGGAGATGAGATTATAAAGGAAGGTTAATTCCTCCTCCCACATGCCAACCCCCCCACTCCACCCCCGCCACCACAGCCCTTACCAGATCCTTGATTGGTGAGAATATGGAGTTCGAGGACCTGATACCCCAGAACACAAAGAGACTGTGTTCAGTGTGATGCACAACTCAGACGCCAGCGAATGTTAACACTGGTAGTGGAAAAAGCACCCACATAGCACATGCCCCCACGTCCTGGTTCTCATTGGAGTTCTGCCCTTCACCGGCCCTGTCATTCTGGGCAAATCACCTTTCCTTCTGGAGCTTCCATTTCCCTGTCTACAAAATGGAGCAGCTGGCCTAGAATCTAGATTCTAAATAATCTTTAAAATCTCTTTCTGTGTGGTCAGTGACTATTCTCCTTCCTTCTTAACTGGCCTATCTTCTGTTTCAAGTTAGGAACTCTCCAGAGCAGAGCTCCATCTCCCACCATTATGAACTTTATAATCAGTGACTTATCTTGATGAGTGCAGCCAAGGAGCACAGAAAGAGGAACAAAATTCTCAGTGAGGCCAACAGCAATCCTTGGACCTAGAGGTGGTGCAAAGAGAATCAACCTGTCCCTTTATCAGCTCTCTGTCTCTCCTGACCCAGCAGGATGCCCCTGTGCCCAGGCCCTCATTCCTAACCCCACCCAGCACCTACAGTGGCTTCTTTGCTTTTCCTGCCAGAATCACAAACATCTGGGTCTATCCAGAGAGGCTCCTGGAGGATCTGAGGGATGAACGGTTTCATGAAACTCTACTTCACTCAGTGAACCCCACCTCAGAGCCCCCCACCCCCCACACTATCCCTCCACCCCCACTTTCTGCACAGAGCCTGCCTTCTTCCCTGGCTACATCACCCAGGTAGATGGGCTGTTAAGAGGACAAATGAACAAGTCAACCAATTTGGCTCTCCATTTATCTAGGCAGGAATATTCAGTGCAACTTGGTCCTGGGACTCAGTTACATCTTAATCTGTGAGAACAAAGTCAGCAGCCTTCTCTATCTTGTGATTTAGGGGCTCTAGAAAGACCCCAAAATGCCTCTTCCACCAAACTATCCAACCTCCCATAACCTCACAGTGTGGTTTTGTGATCTGTACCCTAGTGGGGGTGTTAGAGCTGACTTTACCAGATTATATAGATAAAACCCCTTCATTTTATAGATGCGGACGGAGGTGGAGGCCCAGAAAAGGGAAGTCACATGTCCTACGTCACACAAGTAGCCGCTGAACCAAGACAGCTCTTCAGGTTTCCATTTCCTTCACTATAAGATGAAGGAGATTAACTAGAGGTTAGACCAGATGGACTCTGAAGGTCCTGACCACCTCTGCTTTGCAGAAATTAAACTGCCTCCCCACCTGTGCCATTTTCTTCTTTAATTGTCACAAAATGAGCTGCCCTACCGATAGCACTGATGCTGTAACTGTGTTTTACCCAGTCTGTCCAAATAGGTTCATTGGGGACATCATTGTATCGACCCCACGGCCAGCTGCCATTCTGCCCACACACATCGTTCCCTTGGGTCTCAGGCTCTTTCAGCCTTTCAGAGGCTTCTGCTAAGATACCTATACCCTTGAGAAAAGGAATATTTGAGTCTGCACTATTGGCTGGTCCCTGAGCACCAGTTCACCTGTTAAACCGAGGCGTCTCATAAAGTCACCCAGTAGAGACGTTGCAGGCCTGGAATTGAGGGATAGCAATCAGATGTCCCTTGGCCATGGCACAGTTCCTGTAACTGCTACTCTAGACTGGCCAGACCCAGCTGCCGCAGGGAGGGGAAGGGGAAATGGGAGGGGGTTAGCAACCACAGCAAGGCTATTGCACAACACTTGGGGCCCCAGCCTTGGGAGATCCACCCTGGTTCTGAAGAGTTTTCTGGGCGTCTGATTCCTTCCTTTCCTGCCTTGTCCTCTGCTTTCCAACTCTGGGCCTTCCCAGCTCCCAAAGTCAATACTGAGACCTGAGATGTGTCCAGAGACACCCTGAAGAGGCTGAGGGACTGAGGAGCCCGGGGGCACCCACAGGAAGATTCCTGAAGCTGACTTGGAGCCACAGAGGATCTACCTGTTATTTGGTGAGTCTTTCACATTCAGGTTGCCCTTCCTCTGCCCTGTCAGTTAAAAGTACCTTGTAAGGATATCTAAGAAGACTGGTAACAGGGACTGTTCTGGGAAAGAGGCCTGGACCCCTGGGAACAGGGAGACTTCATCTTCATTGTATGTAGTGTGTCTATGTATTTACTTCTCAAAAATGGAGAATAGGGGCACCTGGGTGGCTCAATGGGTTAAGCCTCTGCCTTTAGCTCAGGTCATGATCTCAGGGTTCTGGGATTGAGCCCCGAATCGGGCTCTCTGCTCAGAGGGATGCCTGCTTCCCCTCTACCCCCCGCCTGCCTTTCTGCCTATCTCTCTGTCAAATAAATAAATAAAATTTAAAAAAAAAAATGGAGAATAGGCTGGGGTGCCTGGGTGGCTCAGTGGGTTAAGTCTCTGCCTTCGGCTCAGGTCATGATCTCAGGGTCCTGGGATTGAGCCCCGCATCAGGCTCTCTGCTCAGCAGGTAGCCTCCTTCCCCCACTTTCTGCCTGCTGCTCTGCCTACTTGTGATCTCTGTCAAATAAACAAATAAGATTTTTAAAAATTATTTTTAAAAATGGATAATAGAGTTCAAACATTTTTTTCACCATAATAAAACTGTACGCTCAAGCTAGCCTGGAGGAAGGCAGGGCAGGGATGATGTTGTTTTTAATTGTGGTAGGAAAAAAATACATAAAATTTACCCTAGTTACCATTTTTAAATATACAGCTCAGTAGTATTAACTGTATTTATATCATTGTGCAACAAATCTCTAGAACTTCTTCATCTTGCAAAACTGAAACTCTGCCCGTTGAACAACTTCCGATGATAATCATTCTGACAGATGAGGAAACTAAAGCGCACACAGGGCAATAAGGCCATTTCTTTCAAAGTGGGCTCCTTCAGGCATCCCATCTGTCTGTTATCTCCCTGTAAAACTGTCCGAGACCCCTTCCTCCCTAAATGTTTCCCCACATGCCTCTCACATCTCACATCGCTTCCCACCCCCACCTTGTCATCCCCGGGGCCCCAGCTCCAGACTCTGTGTCTTCTACCTGAACTATTTTCAAGACCCTTGTCACCAGCCTTCCTGCCTCCGTTCTTGCTCCCTCCAATCCACATAGCAGCCAGAGTGTCCTTTCAAAGCACAAATCTTTTATCATTGTATCCCCTTTTAAAATACTGCTCCATGGGGCGCCTGGATGGCTCAGTGGGTTAAAGCCTCTGCCTCTGGCTCAGGTCATGATCCCAGGGTCCTGGGATGGAGCCCCCCCATCTGCATGGGGCTCTCTGCTCTGCAGGGAGCCTGCTTCCCTTTCTCTCTGCCTGCCTCTCTGCCTACTTGTGATCTCTGTCTGTTAAATAAATAAATAAAATCTTAAAAAAAATAAAATAAAATACTGCTCCATGGCTCTTCCCTAGCTACAGGATAAAGTTCCAACTCTGTAGCCTGGCACTCAAGACTGTCCATGACCTTATTCAGGGCAGCGTCTCTATCCCATGTCCCATCTTATCCTTCCACACATCTTACACTCCAACCCCTTTATGCTATTTTCTCTTCTTCTAAACATTTCTTTTTGTCATTCTTGTTCACCTCTTTGCTTTTCTTAGCTTCTCTACTTCAAAAAAACCCTTCAACGTCCAGTTCAGATGCCTGTCACTGTGACACTCTCTGAGCCCTGATCAGAATTTGTCCCTTCTTTCTCTAAGCCCCAGTAGTCCCTGATCAGTTCCCTGCAGTATAGATCACCTGGCAATGTGTCCCTAACTGCAGAGACTGGGTCTGAGCCTCCCTAAGCTCCCAGCATGAGGCCTGCCCAAGAGTGGGTCTCCGTAAGTGATGAATGGCTGAATGATCAGTTGAGCCATTAATTTATTGTGCTGCTGTTACTTCCCATAGGCTGATAGGAGGGAAGCAGAAGGCAGAAATTTCTTACCTGACAAGTGGGGTGGTAGATGAGAATCTTTGCCTCCTGGATCTTAAGTCCATGAGCCCTTGTTATCGTCCCTTCCTCCATCCAGACAAGGTAGTCCAAGCACCAAATCGCAGGGAGCCCCAAAGGAGTGGTATGAAAGGTAGGACAGTCCTGGATGATTGCTGTATTTTTTAGATTCTTTGCTCCCAACTTCTATATTCATAGAGTTGTTCATAAATACTAATCATGGTCATAGCTGTCATCTTTTCTGGGGAAGAGACCATATGGTTAAGAGTCAAGTTTGTTAACTGGTTGACTGACAACTCTACCTGGATACAGGAGGGCTTTGGAACTGGTCAGTGAACACTTGAGTGTTTGGCCTATGGAGAAGCCCCTGAAGTAGCCATCTTTACTGGAGCCCGCTGAGGGAAGAACACCCAGCCAGTCACAAGGTAGACTCTGGGGAAGCACAACAGCCAGCCAGTTTCAGGGTAGTCCCCTAGACTTGAGGGAGAGACTCAGTCCTGCTGACCAGGAGCATGTGGTCTGCTTATCAATAACAAGAAAATAGCCACACATTGCCTAATCTGTAATTGCTGGCCAAAAGAGAAGGCTGTGCTGGTAAAAAACTTGTGGAGTATAGTTAAGGGGTAGGGAGCACTCAGGGCACCTGGTTGGCTCAGTTGGTTAATCTGCCTTTGGCTCAGGTCATGATCTCAGAGTCCTGGGATCAAGCCCCACGTTGTGCTCCCTGCTTCTCCTCTGCCTCTTGCCCCCTCTCATGTTCTCTTTCTCTCAAATAAATAAATAAAATCTTTAAAAAGGTCGGGGGGTGGGGTAGGGAGCACCATTGAAATCTTCCAGAAAGAAGTAAGTGTGGATCCTTGCTTAAAGGGAATGACATAGTTTTTCAATACAAGGCTGTTTTTGGATATTTTATATACTATAGACTAAAAATCTCTGAGAGAAAGGAGAAGAAACTTTTTTTTTTTTTTTTGGATTCTATAAATCCTTGCTTAAAGGGAATGACATAGTTTTTAAATACAAGGCTGTCTTTGGATATTTTTTATATTATAGAGTAAAAATCTCTGAGAGAAAGGAGAAGAAACATTTCAATGATTTATAGAATCCAAAAAAAAAAAAGATTCATATGGGTTACAGTGGTCAAGGAAGGCTTTATTCCACAAGTATATACTGAGCATCTGCCGAGTGCTATCTTAAGTGCTTGTATAAAGCAGTTAGTAGAGCAGACATGCTCTTTGCCTTCATCGACCTTACCACCTAGTGGAGAAGACAGACAAGTAAACAAGTAGGTAGAATAAACTGTGACGTTGGGAATTTAGCTGGGTCTGAAGGGGTTGGGAGGCAATTCAAGCCACAGGTGACAGAAGCCATCTCCTCTCTCTTTTCTGTCACCAACAGAGCATCCTCCAGTTCTTTGCCCATTTGGATCCCTGTTGCTATGGAGACCACCAACGGGACCGAGACCTGGTACGAGAGCCTGCACGCAGTGCTGAAGGCTCTAAATGCCACTATTCACAGCAACTTGCTCTGCCGGACAGGGCCAGACAGCCTGCCTGAGGGGCGGAGGGTCAACCTACCTGGCCGTGATGACAACTCCTACATGTACATTCTCTTCGTCATGTTTCTATTCGCTGCCACCGTGGGCAGCCTCATCCTGGGATATACCCGCTCCCGCAAAGTGGACAAGCGCAGTGACCCCTACCACGTGTACATCAAGAACCGTGTGTCTATGATCTGAGGCTAGCGGGCCGGGAAGGGCAGCATGTCAAGACATCAGGCCTCAGTGTCCCCATCTGTAAGATCAACGAGAAACAGTCCTAAGGGAGGTCATCATTAGGGTGGGAGGAGAAGGGCTGGCAGACCTGGGCCTTATGGATAAAGATATTTTTCCCCCCAGTAAGGGTAGACTTTGGACAATGGGAGCCCCGTGAGCAAATATATAGAAGTAGCAAAAGATAATAACCAATAATTGGCCCAGTGGCTGGAGTACTGGGGTTTAGGGGCTAGAGGCTGGAGGAAGGAGAAAAGAAAATTGTAGCAAAGGGAGATGAAACAGGAAGATGCACTGAGGACACATTTTTTTTAATTTTTAATTTTTTATAAACATATATTTTTATCCCCAGGGGTACAGGTCTGTGAATCGCCAGGTTTACACACTTCACAGCACTCACCATAGCACATACCCTCCCCAATGTCCATAACCCCACCCCCCTTTCCCAACCCCCATCCCCGAGGACACATTTTTTAAAAAAAGATTTTATGTATTTGAAAGAGAGGCAGAGACAGAGCACAAGCAGGGGGAAGGGGCAGAGAGGGGAGGGGAGAAGCAGGCTCCCCACTGAGCAGGGAGCCTGACCCCGGCTGGATCCCAGGACCCTGAGATCATGACCCCAGCCAAAAGCAGATGTTTACCTGACTTAGCCACCCAGGTGCTCCTGAGGACACATTTTTTGATGTGTTATCTTCAACGACCATGAAGAGCAGCAGTGATTACTGCATCACAGATAAGAATCTGAGTAAGGTGACTTATTTATATTTGTTCACATTTTATGTGTTCCAAGATATTTCACATTTGTGATTTTCCCCCTTGTGAGGGAAGCAAAGTAAGTACAATAATGGCCGTTTGGGCAAGAGCAGGACCGTAGGACTGGAACCTAGGAACTCTGGTTTCCTTGCCTACCGCTTTTCAAAACTGTGCCACACAGGACAGGATCCAGGCCTGAAATGTCTGCAATTCTGGGGGCCCTCCTTAAGAAAAATAATTCAAAAACATCCTGCTTTTGCAAATGACAAACACACGTCACCATGTGGATACATGACTAGGACCCCTCCTAAGATCCTAAGGAGTGACGTGTTTCAGCTCCATGGGTCATGTGCCTCTCCGGCCGTGTGGCGGCGCCCTTCCCAGCCACATCTCCAGTCATTCCCTCTAACACAGCCTCTTCTGATATGATGAAGTTCTTTGAGAAGTTTTCTGATACCAAATTGTAATCTTCTTCTAGAAGATTACCATCACATCTAGAAGATTACCAAATTAAAAGGAGGTTGTGCAAGGCAGGTATCCATCTGGTTGAGTGGAAGGAATCTGGTACATGAATGAGCTGGTTACCTCTCTCTTTGATCCTTTTCCCTCTTCCGAAATGGAATAGTTAAGACTTGAAAGTCTCTAAGGGCTCTACCAGTTCTGACATTCTGGGCTTCACAGCTATTGGGTTAAATCATAAAATTGTGTTTGTAGGTCAAAAAGCAGCTATCAGTGGTTTTCATATGGTTTGGTCTCATCTGTACAATGCCGCGAGTGAATCCCCTACAAGCTACAAATCCCAGACTGGGACCTCCCACTGTTCTGTTTGATTCTATTTAAGGGAGCTACATGGGTTCTTCAGAAGGCCCTATTGAAACATATATATTTGTATATAGCAAAAACTCTGAAAGAATATTTTAATTGCCATTATCTCTGAAGAGAAGGACTGTGGGTGATTTCCCCTTTCTACTTAAAAAATTTATGTGATATTTGATTTATTGGACCATAAGCATGTTGCTTGTACAATATGGGGAGGCGGAAGCTACTTCCACTTTGAAAAAATAAAAATAAATGCCTATGTGTTTCTTGAGTGAAGGATCACAGAACAAATTCACTCCCATGAGCAGTTAGTTGTGCTCTCTCCCTATAAAATCTGTGCTGAGCTCCCTGTGTGCTCAAGCCTTTCCTTAGCTCTTCTTGAGGGAGAAGGCAAAGACCTACTTTAGAAGATTTAACAAATAGGAAGACAACAGATTCAGAAATCTCCAATTGGATGGGACCTTAGAGATCACCCAGCCCAAACTCCCAGATAAAACAGGAAATGCAATCAAGTATAGGAATGGTCTCAGGAGTGTTTTAAGAAATGAGATCGAGTAGATTTAGAGGACTCAGAGAAAGGAAGAATTTGAACTGGGCTTTGAAAGAGGACTGATCTAAATGGGCCAAGTGAAAGAAGAGAACAAGACAAAGGAAGCTTGGGGGTAGACATGCGGTGAAACCACTTTATTATTATTATTTTTTTAAGATTTTATTTATTTACTTGACAGAGATCACAAGTGGCTCCCCTTCACAGAGTCCTTACACTTACAGGGATTAATAATAAGATAATAGAAATTCTGCTTGTAAGTTGGAGAAATTAATGTATATTAGCATTGAACACAAGTTCAAAAGAAGAGCTACTGACATCTGGGCAACTCCAGGGCCCAGAGTTACTTATTGGTCTGAATTCACAAAGTAAGGGCTCAATCTAGCTCGGTACTCACCTCCCCCCAGTTCTACCCAACACCAACTGTCTGGAGTTCAGTGGCCCTTCCTCTTCTGAGCCCAAGATCCTTTATCTGCACCGATTCTGCCCTCTGCTGGCCAGATCCCAGCACAACATGTTAAGCCCTCAAAGCAAAACTTCAGGAAGCTCTCAATCAACAAATATTTATGGAGGGCCTACTATGTGCCAAGCACGCATCTCGGCACTCTGGGGATTCATAAGTAAAAAAGATCAAAGAAACCCCTGCCCTAACACTTTCGAGCATTTACTATATGTCAGCTAGTGGTCTAAGCATTTTATACATTAATTCATTTAGCTCTGAATACCTTTATAACAACCATAATTAGTAGGTATCCCTTACAATTACTTTAGTAGAGCCCACCAGTTCTCCATCTAACTGCCGCACCACCTTTAACCCAATTTTGGCACCACTGCACACCCAACCTAGGGTGTAGATCTGAATAGTCCCCAGAAATGAATGGGAAAGTGATCTGGGGAAATGATAGCAGAATCAGTAGATTCTGATAGCTTGAGGCTGGGTTCCCTAGAAAGAGAGTCTGAGACAGGCATTTATTGACTGGGCAGTTTTCAGAAAAAACTTGCAAGGGAGAAAGGACGAAGTGTGTCTCAGGTCATGTCTATCCCTGGTCTGATCAACAGGGAACTGGTCTACATGGCTGGGGCACAAACTGCACAGCAGGATTATACCCCCTTGAAGCCAGGGGTCTGGTCCTTTATGCCCCTGTATCAGTAAGGCATTGATTATGACCCACTCTGATGGGGAGAGGGGACAAGGGGAGGGTTGTAAGGAGGTTCTCATCAGCTGAGAGCAGTTCTCTGGAGACAAGTGGCACATGTGAGCTTACAGCAGGCTAGCACAGTGGAAGAAAGCTAAGCAAGGAAGTTATCTTGGTTGGAGGTTTGCAACAGCCTGAGTCCTCGGGAAGGTTCTGAAGCTCAGTATTCATCACAGAATTGCTCCACCTTTTTTGGCTATCATTTTCTGCTCCATGTCACGCATCATTGGCTGCTGGCTGCTGGAGGGGGCACTTGACCTCCCAGGGATGCTCACATTTGGCTGAAGCCAAATCTCTGGAGAAGGGAGCAGCTCCAAACTGATGGCAGCAACACCCACAGCAGCTGGGGAAGGGGGCCTCTTTGGGCTCCATCAGTGTCCATGAGAGATGTGCTACTGGGGAAATGGGAGCAGAAGCAAAGGAGTCAGTCACCTCTTAGGATCTCCTTCTGTTAAACCCACAAGAAGCACACACCAAAAAAAGAACAAAACAAAGTAACACCAAACAGCACCACATAGGAAACAATGTAGTTTACAAGAAAACATGGGGAACAGATATTATAAGTGAAGGTCAAGAAGAGGAGAGAGAAGTATTGGTGGATGTTTCCTGGAGATTTGAAGAAGGATTTGAAGAACTATAAGGATTTGATTAGGAGGTCGAATTTAGTATGATCCAAGGCAGCATTTCCAGTAGGTGGATGGCTCTGCTCTACTCAGTCATTCAGGGAATAAAGATAATGACTGCCATCTTCAACAGGTAGCTTCCAAGTGCACTCTGTCTGGAGCATTTCTAGATAGAGAGGAGAGAGAAAAAGAACAGAATTCCAGAGCTAAGGATTTACTCTTACACAAGCAAGGCAAAAGCTGCCTATATCCCTTCTGCTCACAACCGCTGATAAGGGCTTAGTAACATGACCACAGCTGGCTGCAAGGAGAGCCAGCAAATGAAGTTTCTATCCGGGCAGTCATATCCCAGCCGAATCTCTATGGAAGGGATGGATGGATTTTGGAGGACAGCTAATGGTCTTCACCCTACCTTCCCCATTCTTTCCCCCAGGACTGGCCTTGAATAACAACAACAACAACAACAACAAAACACATACAGCCTTGTCAAGGAGAAAGAAGTGCTGTTACTCTGATTTGATCATGTTTTGGGGGAGGGGGGGTTTGGAGCCTTGTGGGTATAATTAAGCCTGTCCTGGTAGTGTGACTTTTGCTCATTTTTTTCTGGCATTGCTGAGTCTTGTCTCATCTCTCCCTGGAACGGTAATGTCCAAGATATTGGTTTAGGCATAAGGGAAATAGACCAAGCAAGGCTTTCAGCCAATCTTATATAGGAGAAAGAATCCTCTTTCAGGTGTCACTAAGAAACCAAGAATATGATCTGCCTGGATGAAATCAGAGAACCCATCTGTGGCAGTGGTTAAACTCTGACAGAGAATGAGCTCCTGGGGAGCAGGAAAGTCAGAAGCTAGTGATCAGGAAAGAAAAAGGGAAGAAAAACTAGTTTTTGATGAGCAAACAGCCTCTGCTAGGCACTATGCTGGGAATTTCCATGTTACCTTATTTCACCTTTTCAAATGCTCTTAACTTTCTTTTATTTTTATTTTTTTTAAAGATTTTATTTATTTTATTTGACAGACAGAGATCACAAGTAGGCAGAGGCAGGCAGAGAGAGAGAGGAAGGGAAGCAG